CACCTTGCCCTTGCCAGGGCGACGTCTCCCGCTAGGGGCAGACGCCGCACCGACCGACTCAAGACCAACGAGGTCGGCCGCAGCGGCAGAGGCGACAGAGGGCAAGAGAGGGGAAGGAGAACACCCCTCAAAGATGGGGGCGCGGGGGTCACCTCGAGAGGCTCCTACAGCGACTAAACTCTTCTCTGCTGCTAGGAGGGCCTTCTCAAGGAGGTCAACGGTGAGAGTGGTGGGGAAAACTGAGAGGAAGTGGTCCCTGACTACGCGAAGAGAGTCAGGGAGCCGGGTGACTATGTAGTAGAGGGTGATGCACATGGGGGGGGGGGGTTCTTGGCGCAGAACTCAGCAGGAAGCGCAGCGCGGTAGTGGGTGTCACTAGTGCGGAGATGCGTAATGAGATCAGCGACTGTGGGAAAGGCGGCAAGGTCAGGGAAGAGGTAGGGTAGCATGAGGCGGCTCAGTGCAGCAGTGGCAGGGGAGGAGTAGCGCCCAACTACAGCGTCGTACAAGGTCTGAGCACTCTTGTACTGACTAAAGTGCGCACGCTCAGAGGTAGGGAGGTGGCGACGCACAGCAAGACGTGCAGCAGCATCGCGTGTAGCCCACTGGGAGCGAACAGTAGGGTCAGCATCAGCAGCAGGGGCAGGGGAAGCGCCAGAGGTAAGGTCAAAGAGAGAGAGGCCGTCTGCCCTATCGCACTGTAAGAACAGCTGGAGGTCATCTACCCAGACCTCAAAGTCAATGGCCCGACCCTCAGCGTCAAAAGCGAGGACACTGGGGGTAGCCATGACGACAGACGCCTAGCAGTGCAGGCAGTAGGGTGAGGGCAGCGCAGTGAAAAAGAAGGCTTTTGTGCTCACCAGGCTGGGTAGAACGGGCCGTATGGAAGTAGGGCAGCTCAGCGGCCGACGGCTCGGCTGCGGGGCGGCTCGGCTGCTCGGCGGCTTGGCTGCTCGGCTGCTGGGCGGCTCGGCTGCGGGGCGGCTCGGCTGCTCGGCGGCTCGGCTGCTCGGCTGCTCGGCTGCTGGGCGGCTCGGCTGCGGGGCGGCTCGGCTGCTCGGCGGCTCGGCTGCTCGGCTGCTGGGCGGCTCGGCTGCGGGGCGGCTCGGCTGCTCGGCGGCTCGGCTGCGGGGCGGCTCGGCTGCTCTGCGGCTCGGCTGCTCGGCTGCTCGGCTGCTCGGCGGTCGGCCGCTGGGCGGCTCGGCGGCTCAGCGTCTGGGCGACCCGGCGGTCGGGCGGCGGGTGGGCCGCAGGTAGGGCGGCTGGTGGGCCGCTGAGTAGGGCGGCGGGGCCGTCGATGTAGGGTAGGACGGCGGGGCCGCAACGTAGGGCGGCGGGGCCGCGAAGTAGGGTAGGGCGGCGGGGCTGTCAAAGTAGGGCGGCGGGGCCGCAACGTAGGACGGCGGGGCCGTCGAAGGGTAGGGCGGCGGGGCCGCTACGTAGGGCGGCGGCGTCGTCGAAGGGTAGGGCGGCGGGGCCGCTACGTAGGGCGGCGGCGCCGTCGAAGGGTAGGGCGGCGGGGCCGCGACGTAGGGTAGGGCGGCGGGGCCGTCGAAGTAGGGCGGCGAGGGCGCGACGTAGGGCGGCGGGGCCGTCGAAGTAGGGCGGCGGGGCCGCGACGTAGGGCGGCGCCGCCGTCGAAGGGTAGGGCGGCGGGGCCGCGACGTAGGGTAGGGCGGCAGGGCCGCGACGTAGGGCGGCGGGGCCGTCGAAGTAGGGCGGCGGGGCCGCGACTTAGGGCGGCGGCGCCGTCGAAGGGTAGGGCGGCGGGGCCGCGACGTAGGGCGGCGGGGCCGCTAGAGTAGGGCGGCGGGGTCGCGACCGAAAGGCGACGCGACGGGCCGCTGGGAGGGGGGGGGAGGGCGACACTACGGGTCGCTAAAAAAAAGAACGCGCGCCTCGGGGCGCGCTTCGGTGGGCCCAAGAAACAGTCCCTAGGAGGGGACCTGCTCTGATTCCATGTGAGAATGAGAACGAGAATGAAATGGACTATGAATGAAGTGGGTACAATTACTAACCCTAATTGGGTTGTACCCCCTATGCGATACCCCACTATAGCCTACACAAAAGCATAAGCTATAATGATCTGACAGCCCTCCCGCGCCCGTGAAGTCGCATCCGTGCTCCGTGTGCAGCCTTGAGCGCCTCCGCTTGGGCTTTCCATTCTGTCAGACATTTTCGGTGTATGCCTGACTCCCGCGCCACTTCGCTCACCGAAGCCGCAAGCTCGAGCCGCACGAGCCACCTCAACTTCTCCTGGGCGGTGTAGGACTGCCGCTTATGTTGAGTCTGCTTGTGCCTGGGGGAGGGGGGGCGGGCATCTCGATTCTCGGTAGACGGGTGGGGGCGTTTTTTGTTAAGGGGCGGATACGTCGGTACCGGCATCTTCGCGCGTGGTGCGTCGCGCCACCAGGACTCCACACCATCCTCGTCCTCGGCAGTTGTGTCACGGTCGGGGAACACGTCTTCCTCGTCGCCCGCTGCACCGTCGCCACCAGCTTCACCGTCGCCTCCAGCTTTGCCGTTGCCGCTGTCATGTTTGTCGGCAGCCACATCATCGTCGGCGCCCACAGCCGACTCATCCCACGCGCAGGCTTCTGGTTGTCCTCACCATGGTGCAGTCGCCGGAGCTTGGATGCGTGCATCGGGGGCCTTGGGTGTGTCCGCTACAGCCAACCATTCGTCGAACGTGGCTGGTAAATACAGTTGGAGCACGGGCCGTTGGTGAGCACCTGCCGAAGCAAAAGCAGGCGGATTCGGAGGAGCGGGAGGTGCGGGAGGAGCGGGTGGAGCAGGAGGCACAAGGGGAGCAGGAGGAGCAGGTGGTGCAGGGGGATCCGGTGGCACTGGAGGCGCTGGTGGCTCACGGGTATACCACCCGTCCTCGGTAAGTGGCCATGTGCGGCGTGGTTTTTTCTTGAAGAGGATGTGAGTCCCACTAAATTCCGCCATGGCTTCGCCTGCTAGGCGGGCTAGACAGGAAACTGAATGAAAACATTAGAGACGAGGGTGAAGAAATGGGCAACGACGGGGACCCCTGCTGCGTGGCGGCTCGGGTTCCTCGTCGATGACAGGCAAGAAACCCCCGCCTACTCCCGTAGAGGCGCCTGCGTGGCAGCATCTACGCTGCGCTGGCAGGGAATCTTGCCGAACCTTCGAGATGGTTCTGCCCGAATGCACATGCCACGCAGCGCATGCAGCTGTGATTGGGCCGCACGGCAACATCCTCGTCACGGCTGCCACATTCGATGTTTCCAGACAACATTGAGCGGTGGGAAAGCGAACCATGCACGATCCCACTTGGTGCATGGTTGGTTGAATTCGCCTTGTTGAGAGCTTAACAATGGTGTGTTCAAAATTGATTTTCATTTTATCCTTTATACAAGCGCATGCGCTTATAAATCTGACTCAATTATAAGCGCACCCCCCAAAAAACAATGTTTTATTATAAGCACAGGTGCGCTTATATCCGGGCTATTACGGTACAGTGGTGGACCTAGGGGTAGTGCATCTACCGTAACGTCGGCGATGATGGATAGACTGAATAGGTTAGAGGAAAAATATATATACGGTAGTGGATGTTGTTGGGCTGAGAAAGCCCTTAAGGATCTTTGCAGAGGATAACTCTGGGTAGGATATTTGTAATAGCGGAAGCGTTTAATGAAGTTTGTGAACCGACCTTGCACTAGTGTGTGAGAGCAAAGTGGATTGAATTAAACAAGCAAATACAAGGTTTTATATAAGAGTACAGGGAATACGAATGGATAGATAACAGTATTTGCTGTTGCGATTCGATACAGTGCGACTCGGGCAACTGCTCTGTAACGAGTCAGTTGTGTGTCCTTAACTGTCGCGCTGTAATTGTCGAGTCAAAGGTCGCTGACCTTTGACTTTCCCGTAACCTCCAGGCGGTTACCCTAACCTCCGAGGTTTGACTCGATGCTTCGATTCGGACTGCTTCGCTAGTGTCTTGGGTTTTGACACGACAGAAGCGCACTAAGACTTATTGTTTCCAACACTCCCCTTCGCTGCTGGAGTGTCGCCGCAGGTGACGTGGCTTTGTCCAGTCAGCAGCATACAGTATTCGAACTTCTGCTTTCCGAGCTTCTTGGTCAAGTAATCGGCTGCCATCTCAGACCTGGGACAGTATGACAGATCGAGTTTCCCCTTTTCGATCTCGTCCTTCACGAAGAAATAGCGCAGGGCGATGTGTTTCGTCCTGTTTGCGAAGCCATTCTTGTTGGTGTTAGAATAGTAGGTAGTGGGGCCTAGGCTTAGTAGCCTAGGCCCACACTAGGAGGTAGGTGTGTGCGCTCTAGAAGTAGGAGTTAGGGTTTTGGAAGGAGAATTGGAAGGAAGAATGAATCCACTAGCAAGCAGCAGGACACACAAATAGAAAACCCTAAGGGGTTGTACTCAGTATTGAGCACCCCACTGCAGGCTACACAAATAACATTCTGACACACCCCCATAGCCAAAGTGGGGTGTAATCAGCAGAGCAGGCAAAGCAGTACAAGCTCAGGGTGGATCACAATGTCACCACACATTCTGAGCACAAGTTAAAGAAGCAATAGTTTAAAGTTAGGAATTATGAGCAAAGCTAGTGGTAGTCACAACGGGCAAGTGAGGAGGAGGAGAGAGAGTGAGGGGAGAGGGGATAGGAGGAGACGGCTGAAGCTGCAGACACACGGGCAACAGGAGGCAGACTGGCACAGCGGCTACCGGACAGCGCCCGGACTACAGGAGTAACAGGCCCCGCGGCTCAAGCAGCGGCAGACGGGCAACGGACCCACGGGCGGCTGGCGTAGAAGTCTAGCTCACTGGGCTACCGGGACAGCGCCCCGGACTACAGGTGCTGCGGACTACAGGACGGCAACTTCCATGCAGCTTCCCCAAACAGTCCCACCCCCCCTGACACACACCCGCTGCTACACCGCTAGCTCCACTCCCACGCACCCCCCTTAAACCCTAAACCCCAGTCTCCCACACAACCACCCCCCTCAGCGACAGCTGCAGCAGTGGGAGACGAAGGAGGAGGAGGAAAGGGAGGAATGCACACCAGCCACCCCCATACCCGGAAACGGGGGCGCAGACAGTAGCAGAGCGCACTAGGCACGGGCAGCAACAGGCACGGGCAGCACAGGCACGGGCAGCACAGGCACGGGCAGCAACAGGCACGGGCAGCACAGGCACGGGCAGCACAGGCACGGGCAGCACAGGCACGGGCAGCAAGAGGCACGGGCAGCACAGGCACGGGCAGCACAGGCACGGGCAGCAACAGGCACGGGCAGCACAGGCACGGGCAGCACAGGCACGGGCAGCAACAGGCACGGGCAGCACAGGCACGGGCAGCAACAGGCACGGGCAGCACAGGCACGGGCAGCACAGGCACGGGCAGCAACAGGCACGGGCAGCAACAGGCACGGGCAGCACAGGCACGGGCAGCACAGGCACGGGCAGCACAGGCACAGGCAGCACAGGCACGGGCAGCACAGGCACGGGCAGCACAGGCACGGGCAGCACAGGCACGGGCAGCAACAGGCACGGGCAGCACAGGCACGGGCAGCACAGGCACGGGCAGCACAGGCACGGGCAGCACAGGCACGGGCAGCACAGGCACGGGCAGCACAGGCACGGGCAGCAACAGGCACGGGCAGCACAGGCACGGGCAGCAACAGGCACGGGCAGCACAGGCACGGGCAGCAACAGGCACGGGCAGCACAGGCACGGGCAGCACAGGCACGGGCAGCAACAGGCACGGGCAGCAACAGGCACGGGCAGCACAGGCACGGGCAGCACAGGCACGGGCAGCACAGGCACAGGCAGCACAGGCACGGGCAGCACAGGCACGGGCAGCACAGGCACGGGCAGCACAGGCACGGGCAGCACAGGCACGGGCAGCAACAGGCACGGGCAGCACAGGCACGGGCAGCACAGGCACGGGCAGCACAGGCACGGGCAGCACAGGCACGGGCAGCACAGGGCGTACCGGGTCCAGGGGCGGCAGCTGCTGCAGGCGCTGGCGGCGGCTGCTGCTGCAGGCTCTGGCGGCGGCTGCTGCTGCAGACTCTGGCGGCGGCTGCTGCTGCAGGCTCTGGCGGCGGCTGCTGCTGCAGGCTCTGGCGGCGGCTGCTGCTGCAGGCCTGGCGGCTGCTGCTGCAGGCCTGGCGGCGGCTGCTGCTGCAAGGCGGCGGTGGCTGCTGCGGCAGAGCGGCGGCGGCTGCTACTGTTGGATCGGTGGCGGCAGCTGCTGCAGGCTCTGGCGGAGGCTGCTGCTGCAGACTCTGGCGGCGGCTGCTGCTGCAGGCTCTGGCGGCGGCTGCTGCTGCAGGCTCTGGCGGCGGCTGCTGCTGCAGGGCGGCGGCGTCTGTTGCTGCAGGCCCGGCGGGGCTGCTGCTGCAGGGCGGCGGCGTCTGTTGCTGCAGGCCCGGCGGCGGCTGCTGCTGCAGGGCGGCGGCGTCTGCTGCTGCAGGCCGGCGGCGGCTGGTGCTCCAGGATCGGACGGCGCCCCGCGGGTCCCGCAGGGGGCGTCGCGACGAGCATGGGCGACGCCCCGCGGGTCCCACAGGGGGCGTCGCGACGAGCAGGGGCGACGCCCCGCGGGTCCCACAGGGGGCGTCGCGACGAGCAGGGGCGACGCCCCGCGGGTCCCGCACGGACGTCGCGAGGAGCAGGGCGACGCCGCGCGGGTCCCGCACGGGCGTCGCGACGAGCAGCGGGGAGGGCAGCGCGCAGGCCCCCCGAGGGCGCTTCGACGGACGGGAAAACCGCCGCGCGCCTCGGGGCGCACGGCGGGCAGAAAACCGCCGCGCGCCCCGAGCGCACGGCGGGATGAAAAACTCCGAAACCCTAAAAAAAAAATTCGCCGCGCGCTCCGCGCGCGGCAGGAAGAAGGACTGCAGCGGAAGCATAGGGGCCCAAAGGCCAATGTAGAACGGGCTCTGATAACATGTTAGAATAGTAGGTAGTGGGGCCTAGGCTTAGTAGCCTAGGCCCACACTAGGAGGTAGGTGTGTGCGCTCTAGAAGTAGGAGTTAGGGTTTTGGAAGGAGAATTGGAAGGAAGAATGAATCCACTAGCAAGCAGCAGGACACACAAATAGAAAACCCTAAGGGGTTGTACTCAGTATTGAGCACCCCACTGCAGGCTACACAAATAACATTCTGACAGTTGGCGATGCGAATTGCTGACTGGTTGTCGCAGAACACGGTGAAGCTGGGTAACTCGGCTAACTTCGCTTCTTCCAGCAGTTCGCGAAGGTAAAGTCCCTCCTTGGTGGCTGAGCAGAGTGCAATATATTCTGCTTGAGCTGAAGACAGTGCGATTAACTCCTGCTTACTCGACTGCCAGGAGATAGGACCGATAGGCTCGAGGCGGTAGACATAGCCGGTGCGTGAGCGCCTGTTATCGGTGTCGCCGGCGTGATCGGCGTCGACGTAGCCGATTAGCTTGGTCGGTGTAGTTGCGTTTTTGTGATAAGTTAATCCGATCGTCGCGGTGCTGACGAAATAGTGGAGAGCGCGATCGAGTTCCGCTAGATGCTCTGCTTCAGGCTTCTTGAGATAGGTGGCGAGCTGGCTCGCGGAGTAGGATAAGTCGGGACGGCATGTGACTGCTGCGAAGAGAAGACATCCGAGCTTCTTCTGATAGTCGCGTATGCCGGCGGGCTTGAGTAGGGTAGATCGTCCCTTTTCGGTTCCTTACGTGTAGCGGTAAGGCGTGGAGATGGCGCTTGGTGTGAGGCTGAAGCGTTTCGCGATGGTGTCGGCGTACTTCTCGGCGCTTAGATAGATTGCGTTTTCTTCCTCGCGGATGTTGAGCCCGAGGTACTGCGTAACGGTAGAAGAGACCGTGAGCGTGAGGTCTTTCTGAAGCTCCCCTTCGAACCACGTGGCGATGCCGTCGGTTGACCCAATGTAGAGGAGATCGTCCACGTAGACGATTAGGAGAACGTAGTCACTTCCCTTTATGAGGCGATACATGCCTTGGTCGTGCGGGAGTTGTTTGAAACCGATGCGAATGAGGCGGGCGTGTAGGTACTGCTGCCACAGTCGCGGTGCCTGCTTGATCCCGTAGAGCGACTTAAGCAGTTGACAGACTCGGTTGGGTTCGCCGTGGGAGCCGTGCGGGAGCTCGACGAAGATTTCTGCATCCACATGTGCGTAGAGAAATGCGTTTGCGACGTCGATTTGTCGCAGTTTCTTTTTCTTCATGGCGGCGACGGCGATGAGGATTCGGAGTGAGGTGTGACGGTTGACCGGAGCGAAGGTTTCGGTGTAATCTCTTCCGTGCTCCTGGTCAAAGCCGCGTACGACCCAGCGAGCTTTGAATTTGTCGATGGTGCCGTCAGCTTTCGTCTTCACACGGAAGACCCACTTCCCGGTAAGGATAGTTTTGTTTTGTGCTACGCCGATGGGAACGATTTTCCAGGTGTTGCGCTCCTCCAGTGCCTTCAGCTCTTTGTCCATGGCTTCACGCCATTTCTCCCTATGTTCCCCCTCCAGAGCCTGTTGAACCGTCGCAGGCTCCTTAGGAATGGCGGCGCCATGGACTGCGGTGACGAGACCAAGGATTTGCAGTCCAGTCTGTGAGTATCGAGGGAGTTCTGGATCCTCGGGATAAGCTGCTTCGTCTCCCACTTCTGGGTCGGGTATGAAATTTGGCCCTACCCTTTCTGCTTCGTTGGTGTTGACTGTCGCAGGTGTTACGTAACCATTGTCGGCGAAATGGTAGAAGACTTCGGCGTTGTTACAGTCGCGAGGATTTTCCTCATCCATGGGCACGTCGACGGAGCAGTACGGAAGAGGTCCGGCTTCCTCCGATGCGTTGTCGACGTTCTGCTCATCCCAGTCTGCTTCATCCGCTGCTGACGCGAAGGCTCGGTCACCACGAAAGCCACTGGTGAGGTCCCGATTCTCGTGCAAGTTGGCGAGGTACGTTTGAAGGGTGAGTCGTTCGTAGAAGATCACATCACGTGCTGCTACTGTTTCTTTTGTGTGGACGTCGAAGATTCTCCACGCGTTGTAATTTTTCTCGATGCCGAGGTGTAGTCCCCACTGTGCCCGTTGTGAAAATCTTCCCGCTCGTGCTTCTGGGGGTCTGTACTGTACCATGCACCCGAAAACTCGTAACATTTTTGTGCTGCCCTGCTTCCCTGTCCACAGCAGATGCGGTGATGCGTTGTTCGGGAGTGACGACGACGACAACAAGTTGTGCAGCATGACAGCATGGTCCATTGCTGCAGGCCACTGGTGGTTGGGTAGCCGCATGCCACGTAACAGTTTGCGCATGCTGTTCTGCAGGGTCCTGTTCATTCTTTCTGCAACACCTTGCTGCTGATGTGCGTAGGGAAGGGAGAGGAGTTGCTTGATCCCCCTTTCCGCCAGGAACTGCTTGAAGCGCTGAGAGGTGTACTCGCCACCTCCGTCTGACTGGAAGCTTTTCAGTTGCGTTCCAGACTCTCTCTCTGCTATCGGTAGCCAGGCGGCGAATGCTGCGAGCGCCATGTCGCGGCTGGGTAGGTTACGATGCCAGACGTATCGAGTGGCGGCGTCGATGAAGGTGATGGTGTAGTTGTAGTTGACTTGTCCTGGTTCGCGATTGTAGAGGATGTCGCTGTAAACCTTTTCAAGTGGTGCGTACGCTGGTGCGCTCGGGTTGTGATGTGGAGCGAATGGTCGATGAGGTAAGTCAGCTTCGGGGCATGTAAGGCAAGTCCCTCGTGCCTTTTGGAGTTCTCTGCCGTCGGGTAGAAGTAGAGAGTCTTTGTCAAGAACTCCCGCTCTTATCGTGTTATTTAAAACCGTGTTGCTTGGATGTCCTGTGCGTGCGTGCCAGATCTCTTCAGAGGCGCGGTGTCCGGGTGAACGTTGGTATGCGTCGGAGTTGGAGTAAAAACTGGCGACGAAGTTGGCGCTTCGGTGGACTTCGCGTTGAGTCGGATTTAGCTGTTGTGCGGGTGTTGGTGGTGCTTCGTCGACTGTGACTGGTGTCGTTGTTCCTGCTGCTGCTGATGTTGTCGCTGCTCCCGATGTTGTTGCTGCTGCTGCCGATGTTGTTGTTGCTGCCGATGTTGTTGCTGCTGCCGATGTTGTTGCTGCTGCCGATGTTGTCTCTGCTTCTGTTGTTTGTTGAATCGTCGCTAAGGCTCGTGTTCGTTCTGCTTCAGGGATAGTGTGGGAGTACCAAAAACCTCCCGGGCTGAAGTCGGGGTCGAGATCTGGAGGGTGTGTCCAGTCAGTAAAATTCACGATGGCGTCGCTGTCTGCAGTGCCCAGGTCAGGAACGAAGTCGAGGACGAAGACGTTGTTCTTCAATACTGCTTTCCCGATGTAGAGACCGCCTCTCCCGTGGTATAGCTTGAACTCTTGGGTGGTGCTGTCGGCTTCCAGGTGAATCCCCTTCGCCATCAACTGGCTAACACTCAGTAAGTTGTAACCGAGTCCTTCAGCGATGAGTACCTTTGACATGTGCAGTATGACATTTGTTTCTCTTGACTGAAGCTGTACCACTCCTTGTCGTCGTGTGCGCAGGTTTTGATTGTTGGCGACTGTGATGACAACTTCTCGTTGGAGTCGGTGTTCGCGTTGTACGAAGCGTCCGGACGAGCACATGTGTTGCCCGCAGCAACTATCCAAGAACCAAGTGTCTTGGCCGGACGGTTCACTTTGAGCGATGGCGGCGTAAGTCGGATCCGGGTGGAGTGATTCGCGGCGGGGCGTCCTGTTGTCGAGCTCCTCTTCTGGTGAGTAGTGGGGTGGTGACTCTGTTATGCAAGAATCGTTTATCTTGACCATGCAGTTGACTATGTTTCTTGCTCCTTGTGCAGGTTGTCCAGTTGAAGTCGTTGAAGCTTGAATCGTGGTTGTCGGACTTGCTTGTGTCGAAGCAACTTGGGAGCTTGAAGGCCGCAGTTGTCGCTGTGGTGTTATCTGACGGGACGGGCAATGCGTGCGTGGATGTCCTGATGTTTTGCAGATGTGACAAAACGGAGGTACTGGCTTCGGCTGCTGCTGTCGGTTGTTGTAGTAGTTGTGTCGTCGCTGAGTATGGAAAGCGAACTCCGGTGCTAATGCCTTTTTCTTGTGCCTTTCTTCTTGCAGGTCCATGTCCTGCTGCTCGGCGTGGATTTCGGCGCAAAGTGCTGCTTCAGAGATTCTTCCGTGGGCTCGAAGAATTGCTTTGGTGGCGCGCCACTGAGGACCGAGGCCACCGATGATGACTGTCACGAAGGCGTCTTCAGAGATTGATCCTCCGCATCGAAGAAGCTTGTCGCGCAATTCGCGACATCGGCTGATATACGCCAGTCCCTTTTCTCCTGGTTTCATTTCAACTGTTGTCAATTGCGCCATTAACCTGCTCTGGCTTACACTGTCTGTTGCCTGATACAGGTTCTTCAGATGGCCGTACGCGAGTTCCGCCGAGTTGCCGAAGTTCCGGTAAGAGCGAATGTTCTGCTGCTGAGTTGGTGTGATGTTTCTCAGTAGAATAGTATACGCCATCATCGATTGATACGTATACTGCTGCTTCTCATACTGTGTGCCGTTTGCTGGATACTGCAGGGATCCGTCGAAGAAGCCGAGTATCTGCGCGCCCTCCATCATCAGCTCGAATTCAAAGGACCAGGTGAAGAAGTCCTTTCCGTCGAAGGGACTTGATGTTTGCAGATTCAGGACATGCGCGAATTGTGACTGAACTTGTAAAGCGTCCATTGGTTTGTCTTGCGCAGGTGAAGGTTGAGGCAGGAAGCTGATCGACCCGCGCTCGTACGGGGCAAAGGTGGGTTGCTGCTGTTGATTCCCTCGCGCATATGACGATCCATCAAGGCTCATGGGTGTCGCTCCGTTGTTGCTGTTGTGTGTCTGTGCAGGTCCCGACTGCTGGTGTTGCTCGTAGAAGGACATGAAGGAGAAAAATTTCTCCATCATGCTCTGGTCGAAGTCAGAAGGATGGTTCGTGGGGGTCTCGGTTGACGTTCCCCTTGGTCTTGCTGCCGTGCCTTCCTCTGTCTGCAGGCCAGAGGCTGGCGGTGGAGTAGGAGTAGTGCCCGAGGAGCCATTAGGGGAGCTCCTTTCCTTGTTTGTTGCCATGTCTTGTAATGATCAAAAAGTTAGAGTTTTCCCCTGTCAGCTCTCATACCATGTTGGGCTGAGAAAGCCCTTAAGGATCTTTGCAGAGGATAACTCTGGGTAGGATATTTGTAATAGCGGAAGCGTTTAATGAAGTTTGTGAACCGACCTTGCACTAGTGTGTGAGAGCAAAGTGGATTGAATTAAACAAGCAAATACAAGGTTTTATATAAGAGTACAGGGAATACGAATGGATAGATAACAGTATTTGCTGTTGCGATTCGAGACAGTGCGACTCGGGCAACTGCTCTGTAACGAGTCAGTTGTGTGTCCTTAACTGTCGCGCTGTAATTGTCGAGTCAAAGGTCGCTGACCTTTGACTTTCCCGTAACCTCCAGGCGGTTACCCTAACCTCCGAGGTTTGACTCGATGCTTCGATTCGGACTGCTTCGCTAGTGTCTTGGGTTTTGACACGACAGAAGCGCACTAAGACTTATTGTTTCCAACAGATGTATCGTGCCCTTACGTCTGTGCATTAACCAAAATGAACGTTTAGCTAGAAACACAATCAGACTTGCTATTGGTGTGAACTCTGATTGATTAGCCTTTTTTTTAACATACTATGATTTTTTTTTGTACCATGTATGATTGATCAAACAAAAACTTTGTACTAAGGGCATGTTCCTACGGCCCTTTATCAGGCCAACCTCTTATCAAGCTCACGTCAAAACACACTGAAAATTCCCTAAACCCACAAACCCTCGCTACTTTTACCAGGCAAGGCTGACAAGAGGTTTGCCTGATAAGAGCGTAGGAACATGCCCTAAGGCTGACAAATATGACAGCACAAAATACGAATATGAGGGCCTGTTCCCTGCGTAGGACCAACTTCTAGGTTCCGCGACGCTGAAGATGATTTTAAAATCTAACACCGACAGTAAGATGGATTTCATATGACAATGATGACCCTTGTAGCATTTTCTTACATTGTCGGTTCTGAGTGTGCTCTCAGATGTTGGAACTGATGTGTTATAGCTGTCTTGCACTAAGCCATGGGATGTCACATTCTCATTTCGAAGTACCTTATAGAGACTTGAGCTCAACGAGACAACGAATCGAGTTTCCCTTCTAGCGATTTTGTGGCATCGTGTGTGCGACTTCGTGCCACTTCTGCCTGGTAGCATGAGTATTGTTATCGCGGATAGCTACCCCCAAGGCATCCCCTGGTGCTGTGTCATTGTAGACCGCGCTGACCATTCTGCGTTAGCGAGTCGCGAAGGTAAATCGCACGTCGCACATGGCGACTACGTCGCTGGACGACAGCTGGCGAGCCTTGGGGTTGCATGATCCACCGTCGGCGATCCTTGATGACGTCATCAACGCCGTACGAACTCCACCATCTATCTAGTTTCGTCTCGTTTACCTGAAACATCAGCTCGCCACGTGTCCTTTCAGCAGACGCATCGATACAAATTCTTACAGCCCAGGAGATACTAGACGTCCTCATCAGATTCATTAAGTCTCTTGTGTCGACTCGCGATGCGCCTTAAGAAGGGAGCAGCCTATGTGGGCTGACGGCCTTTGCCGCCTGCGTGACTGCGTAAGGTCGCCGCTGTTCCATACGGTTTTGAGACGTCTCAAAACGCCTCGGTTCCGTACGGTTTCAACATCGTTTCCCCACCCCACTCCCCACCGCCACTCCCTATCGCCACTCCCCACCGCCGCTCCCCACCGCTCCCCACCGTTTTCCACCAACATTCGTTATCTGCTTGTTTGGCAGGAGGCGGAAGGGAAGCGAGGAGGCAGTCGGGTTGGAGTGTCTAGGTGCCATAAACTAGAGGACCTCAGGTCCTGAACCTGGACGAATGTCTAAAAAAATGGTTGGAATCTGGACCACATGCTTTAGACATCTGGATGAACTGAGTACCACAATCGTCAAATCTTTGGGTCCTGCCTCTTTCTTTTTCCCTCCGTTCCCCCTATTTCCCGTTCTCGCTGCTCCCCCGTTCCCCCTGCTCCCCCGTTCCCCCTGCTCCCCCGTTCCGCCTGCTCCTACGTTCCCCCTGTTTCCCCGTTCTCCCCGCTCCCGCATTCCCCGTCCTCCCCCGTCCCCTCTGGTCCGCCATTCCCCCTGCTCCCCTGGTCGTGTGCATGGGACCTCAGGTGCACGAGACGTGGCTGGATGGCATTGAGGAGCTGCGCAGGTGAGCTGAGAGCTGCCCACAGTGTGAAGGGGAAAGTGTCTTTCTCAGAGCCCAAGTCTTAGCAGTATATTGAAACGGGGACAAGGTGCACGGGGCCTCAGGTGCACGAGACGTGGCTGGACGGCATCGAGGAGCTGAGGAGGTGAGCTGTGAGCTGTGAGCTGTGAGCTGTGAGCTGTGAGCTATGAGCTGCCCACAGTGGGGGGAGAGAGTGGGCGGCGAGAGTGGGTGTAGAACTAAGTGTTCTTCGAGTTGGCCCAACCCTTAGCAGAAAAAAGGAACGGGGACAAGAGTGGGTGGCAGTGAGTGGGTGGCAGTGAGTGGGTGGCAGTGAGCGGGTGGCAGTGAGCGGGTGGCAGTGAGCGGACGGGTGACAGAGAATGGGAGGCAGAGATTGGGCGGCGTAACAGTGAGTGAGAGAGTGGTTTGAGAGAAAGTGGGCGTATGATTATGCATGCAAGTGCCTTGGCGTTTCAATCTGTATTTCCTGTTTCCTGTTTCCGCTGTTTTGTTAGCCTCTCTTAATCATTTCAGAAGAGGTCAGACGCTCTCTCTCTTTCTCTCTTCGCCTCACCAATTGCTCTGTGCTCTCTTCTGGTCTCTCTTCGCATCTGCATGATCTTCTGGTTACGGAATGGCGTTGTATGGCATGCCAAAACATGATCATGGTGTGGTATGACGTGGCATGCCATGACGTGATGTGGCATGACATGGTGTGACGTGGCATGGCGTGTGCACGGCCACAGCTGCATCATGGAGAAGTGCCCTGAAGGGGGAAAGTCCAAGCTGCAACAGGTGAGAGAATGGACGGTCGGGCTCACTCACTCATGCACTTACTCCCTCGCTCCATCCCTCCCTCGCTCCATCCCTCCCTCACTTTCTAACCTCACCCCCTCCCCTTCCTCTTCCCCCACCCCCTCCCCTCCCCCTCTCATGCGCACATCAGGACCTGGATGAAGCATACCATCTGGTGGAGCAGCGCATAGAGGAGCACATGGAGGCCTTCAAGACCCGCGCCCTCGCTACTGCCTTCGCCCTGCCCCCCTCGCTACAAGCACACCTCGCCACGTTGGATTGGGAACAGAGGGCAGCTGCGCCAGCTGGCAGCAATGTTGGAGCAGGCGGGGGTGATGACCTGGCAGCTGAAGCGTCGGCTCTAGATGCTGAGCTGGCAGAGCTCAATGCCACGCTGGAAAAGGTGCGGAGTGTTATCCAGATGTACTATTGCTTTCTTTACTGACTGTTATGCTTTCCTCCCTCCTTCCTCTTCTGCTCAGTCCCTTCACTCTCCCCCTCTTCTATCCATACATGTGCATTTTGATTTGTATAAACTAATACCCTCCTTGTCCTATCTCTCCTCCATTTTTTAGCGCACTCGGTTCTTCCCTTTTTTGCCTCGCACTCCTCTCACTTTTTGTCTACGTTAAGTTTCTCGCACTTCTGCACCATCAGTTTGTCCATTCGCTTTTCATTCATCTCCTCCCTTTCAATCTCGCTCATTTTCTCCGTTCTTCACTTGTCCCTATCGCCCTTACCCACCCATGTTTGCCCCCCTTCCCCACTTGTGTGTGCCCCGCATTCTCACCCATTTCTGCCCGCCATCCTCACCTGTGTGTCCCCTATCCCCACCCATGCGTGACCCCCATCCCCTTCTTCAGAAAAGAGCAGAGCTGCGAGCGATGAGGCGGCAGCAGCGACAGCAGCTGGCGGCAGTGGGGAGTGAGGGGCAGCTGAAGCAGCTGCAGCAGATAATGCAAGCAGACCACAGCGGTGGGTGATGTGTGCACTTATGCATGTGTGGATGTGTGCACTTATGAGTGCACGAGGGAACGACCAAAGCTGCAGCAGCAGGCAGCAGCCACCAGAGAGCAGTGAGGGGCAGCTGCAAGTGCTGCAGCAGATGATGCGAGGCGAGCACCATGGTGGGTGATGTATGTGGGTGAGTGCATGTGTGCATGTGTGCAAAGTGCGTGACCTGTGTATATGTGCATGTGTAGATTCATGGGCGCTTAAGGGAGTGACAAAAGCTGCTGCTGCAGCAGATGATGCGAGGCGACCACAATGGTGGGTGATGTATGTGGGTGAGTGCATGTGTGCACGGATGAGTGCATGTGTGCACGGATGAGTGCATGTGTGCACGGATGAGTGCATGTGTGCACGGATGAGTGCATGTGTGCACGGATGAGTGCATGTGTGCACGGATGAGTGCATGAGGGAACAACGACAGGTGCAGCAGCAGGCGGCAGTGAGCAGTGAGGGGCGGTTGCAGGTGCTGCAGATGATGCGAGCTGACTGATGTGGTGGGTGGCACGTGCATGCATCTTGGGGGCATGGATGCATGGAAGCATGGAAGCATGGATGCATGGATGCATGGAAGCATGGAAGCATGGAAGCATGGAAGCATGGATGCATGGATGCATGGATGCATGGAAGCATGGAAGCATGGAAGCATGGATGCATGGATGCATGGATGCATGGAAGCGTGGTGGCACTGGTTGCGTGTATGCACAGGTGTTGACTTGCATATTTCTCCTTCCTCAGAAAGCCTCCATCACATTTTTTTCCGTCCGCTTTCTCCGCTCCATGTCCTCCCCTTTTCGTCCTCCCCTTCTCCTCCGTCCCTTCTCGTCCGCCCCTTCTCGTCCGCCCCTCCTCGTCCGCCCCTTCTCGTCCGCCCCTTCTCGTCCACCCCTTCTCGTCCGCCCCTTCTCGTCCGCCCCTTCTCGTCCGCCCCTTCTCGTCCGCCCCTTCTCGTCCGCCCCTTCTCGTCCGCCCCTTCTCGCCCGCCCCTTCTCGCCCGCCCCTTCCTAACCGCAGAGCTGCTGGCCTCACACGATCGACTGCAAGCGCAGCAGCACACAGCCATGGACATGACAGGTGAGGCGTGGGGATGAGACGTGGGGATGAGACGTGGGGATGAGGCGTGGGGATGAGGCATGGGGATGAGGCGTGGGGATGAGACATGGGGATGAGACGTGGGGATGAGACGTGGGGATGAGACGTGGGGATGAGACGTGGGGGATGAGACGTGGGGGTTGAGACGTGCATTCTCACACCCATGCATTCTTTCCACCCTCTACCCCTCTCTCCCCTCCCCTCCCCCTCTCTTCCCGCCCTCAACACCTCCCTTACCGCCCTCAACACCTCCCTTCCCGCCCTCTACCCCTCTCTCGCTCTCGCTCTCTCGTTCTCCAGGTGACAGGGTGCCCGCGTCTGAAGAGGGAGGAGGCACGGAGGAGGGTGTGGCGGTGTATGCAGCAGCGCAAGGCGCGCTGAGCGCTGTTCAAGAGCACATGGGGAAGCAGGTGGAGAACGGGGGCTCGGCGTGAGGGAGGAGGGCGAAGGTAGGAGAGAGGAGATTTCTGCAGGGTCAGCAGCAAGAGGGAAGGGTGCTGTAGGGTGCAGCAGAGCAAGGTGGGCTGAGTGCTGTTGAGGAGCACTTGGGGAAGCACGCGGAGGAAGGGGGAGAGGCGCGAGGGAGGAGAGGCGTGAGGGAGGAGAGGCGTGAGGGAGGAGATTTACGCAACATCAGCAGCAGGAGGGAAGGGTGCTGTGGTGGTGTGGATGAAAGCGTAAGAGGGCACACAGGAAAAGGCTGAGGAGGTGGAGGGGGAGAGAAGGGGGTTGGGGAAAGGAGAGGACGGCATGGCTGTGTAGGCCACAGATTGTAGTGGTGTGTGTGTGTGTGGAGTGGAGGGGTGTGTTGAAATCTTTTGTGAGAATTCTCAGAAGTGTGGAGTGGAGGCGTGTGGAGTGGAGGCGTGTGTAAAGTGGAGGGTTGTGCCAGGGAAGGGACCCCGCAGTTGGAGGATGGGAGGCAGAGACTTGCGAGGATGAGGGCAGAGCAGCAGCAGCAAAAGGGAACGTCACTCTGGTGGCAATGGCAAGAGCACAGGGAGAGGAGCAGAGAGTGGAGTGGTGTGTGGGTGATTGGGGGATTATTGATTGTATAGGTATGTGTACAGGTAATGGGGACCAAGGGATATATGTGGAGGATCGCACATGAGTTTTGTTTCCACAGATTTCAATGAGGAATGTAGTATTTGCATCATTCAGATCAGAGCCAGTTGTTGCTGAGCAAACAGCTCTTTGACGTTGCTAAGCAAACAGCTCTTTGACGTTGCTGAGCAAACAGCTCTTTGACGTTGCTGAGCAAACAGCTCTTTGACGTTGCTGTAATTGTAATACTATCCACAGCCACACATCCATGTGCTTGTGCGACTCCTGCGAGGCATTGTAGCAGCTTCAGCCTCTCTGGCACTGCCCCCCCACTGGTTATGGTTCGCATGCAGCTGTATAGCCTGAATCACTTTACTGCACCCTGTGATGCAAACCATGCCTTGGCTTGAGTCCCAGTACCCATTGCCCACCCCCTGCAACTAAAATGGCTCTCATGTCCACGAGCCCATGGGTGTCTTTTGTAGTCGGCTCAAAGAACTGAGTTGATGGGTGGGTGGGTGCAGTGCTTGCGTCATCTGTGTGGCTGCACGCACAGGGAAGGAGATGTTGGTCGTTACAACTTAGACGCCAGTTGGTGCTAAGAAGGCGGCAATGGGTGTAGCACAGATGACAGTGCAGGCAATGGCATCACATGACTGCATTGTGCACACACACGACCCTGTGGCATACCTGTTTAGACCGCACTGCTCTGCGAGGCATGGCATGGGCGTGGCGGGCAGCAGCGTGTGCCCCCATGGCTGCTGCAGCTGCTGTGGTTGCTGCCATGGGTCTGCGACGCACAGCGGATGCGGCTGCTGCTGCGAGCACAAACACCTGGTGGAGGCAGCAACAAGAGGGGCCGGGTGGAGCGGAGGAAGGACAGTGGCGGGATGACACATGGCACAGATAAGCAGCCTCGGCCTCTCCTGCGAGGCACAAACACCTGTTGCCGCACAGCGGATGCGGCTGCTGCTGTGAGCACAAACACCTGGTGGAGGCAGCAACAAGAGGGGCCGGGTGGAGCGGAGGAGAGGGACGAGGGACAGCGGCGGAATGACTCACAGCATACACAGGCCACGGGTGGCAGAGAGCTTTTGTGGAATGTTCATACTTGGATGGCAGTTTGTAGCACGGCCACTAGTCGCAGTTATGGCTGCCCCCACAGCAGCAGCAGGCATGGTGATGCTAAGGGTTATGCCATCTCATCCCATTTGTCAGTCTGTCCTCCTCAGTGCCCATGTCACCACACTGCATGTCATCACATTAAGCACCCCATGGCATCTCATCTCACCTCATCTCATCTCATCTCATCTCATCTCATCTCATCTCATCTCATCTCATCTCATCTCATCTCATCTCATCTCATCTCATCTCATCTCATCTCATCTCATCTCATCTCATCTCATCTCATCTCATCTCATCTCATCTCATCTCATCTCATCTCACCTCACCTCACCTCATCTCATCTCATGGCACCTCATGGCACCTCATGGCACCTCATGGCACCTCATGGCACCCCATGGCACCCCATGGCACCCCATGGCACCCCATGTGAACTCACTCAACCCAGAGATATTGACCTGACAAGCAAGAGAAACCAGAATTCCATACCCGTCCCTGAGGGCAGTTGAGACATTACAATCAACCGCAGCATCCAACTCACCGAAGCGCGCCAGAGAGCAGCAGAGGCACCATGGAAGGGTTTCGGGTTTAAGCCAACCCTCGGCGAGTAGACCACAGAGTCCCGTACTCGCTTCTGATTGCCCCCCTTCCAGTATCTCTCCCTCCTGCCGCCCCGCTCCCAGCTCCTCCAGAATCATCACCCCACCCCACCGTTTGAAACCCCATCCCACCATACAACCCTCCCCAACTCACCGGAGTGAGCCAGAGAGCAGCAGAGGCGCCGTGGAAGGGCGGGGAGTAGACCACCGAGTCCCCATACTCGCTTTTGAGTGACTCCAGTATCTCCCCCTCCTGTCGCCCCGCCCTCAGCTCGTCCCGAATCATCTGCGCAGGGGTGCATGCACGTCCGGGCGCATGTGCATGTGCATGAGTACGTGTATGGCAAAGGTCCGCATGAAGGCTGCATGACAGGCACCCAAGCGTGCATCAAATGGCTTTCTTTCGCCTGTAACTCAGCACGTTTGAGAATTTGTCGCTCAGCTTTCAAGCACACCCACAGACATGCCCATAAAACAAGACAACAAGATAAACAAAGCAGCAGCGGGCATGAGGGATGTTATCCATGCCACGAGCCATCTTGCTGCGTGCCATGCCACGAGCCATCTTGCTGCGTGCCATGCCACGAGCCATCTTGCTGCGTGCCATGCCACGAGCCATCTTGCTGCGTGCCATGCCACGAGCCATCTCGCTGCGTGCCATGCCACGAGCCTGTTACAACCGCGTCCCGCCCCACAGCTGCTGGCTGGATTTGCTGCTACTTGGTAACCAACTGCTACAGCCATCTTCTTTTGAGGCGCCTCAAAACGGGCCTCTGAAGCCATTTGCCAGAAACAATCGCAGCTAATCAAGTGTGGATCGCTAAGACCAGACCATCTACTCCACGCATCAGTTGACACGGCCGCATCAGCAGCCACTCCGCCTAGCTCCTCTCTCAGTGCTCCTCACCTGTGCTCTCCAGCTCCGTGGCTGGCTGGCTTTAAGACCGCCACTTTACTGCTATCAGCATATGCGTTAAAGGAAAGCACCTTGCGCATGCACACCCGTGGGATTCCTCAATGCTCTGGTGCCCGCGCTTGGCACGCCACACCATGCTGCTCCGCACCCACCCCAATGCCTCTAGCGCCGCCACTAGAGCCGCACTGCACTGCTATAAGCACATCCATTAAAAGCACAAACCTTGCGCATGAAAACAGCGACGTCAGAGTTGTAATCCTCAATGCTCTGGTGCCCGCACTCCACACACCGCACCTTGCTGCTTAGCACCCGAGTCGTCGCGCCTGGCCCCACTGGCACACTGAACCGCTATAAGCACATTCCTTAACACCACCTACCTTGCGCATGAAAATGGCCACGTCAGCATTGGATTCTTCGATGCTCTGGTGCCCGCACTCCACACACCGCACCTTGCTGCTCAGCACCCGCGCCCTCGCCTCCAACTCCGCTGCTCGCAACCGCTGCTCCCGTGCTGCTGCTGCTGCCACCGCTGCTGCATCTGCTGTTGCTGTCTCTGCTATTGGTGCGGCTGCTGCTGGTGCTACTGTTGCTAGCGCGGCTGCAGCTGATGTCTTCCCTTCTGATACTGCTTCTGGTTTCAAAGCAGCAGACGAAGCTTCTGAAACAGGAGCTGCAGCGGGAGGCGCAGGGCCAGCAGGAGTAGAGATTTGACGCGAGTCAACAGGGGCGTTCACGGGAGGCAGTCCCGCGCTGGTGGCCTTACTGCCTGTTGCTCCCATGGCGGCCCGCACTGCCGCCTCACTGCCCAAGCTGTCTCAAGCTCTCATGCGAACGGGTTCGACCACCTACTCCACTAGCAGTACTGCGAAACCCACGTAACCCGCTACTTGCCGCGTCACCGCTCGCTGCACACACGGTGCTGCTGTGAAGTCGACTCAAGCTGTCTCACGCTCTCATGCGAACGAGGCACACCAACCACGTCTCTAGTACTGCGGAACAAGGCTCGAGCGTCTCACGGAAAAAGAGGTGACTCTTGCGTCGACTCAACGGTAAAATCGGGAGTCCTGCGGAAATAACAGCTGGTGACAGTGCGACAAGAGAGTCAAAAGAACCACCATACGTTCTTAGTCAAATTCTGTCGATTGGATGCAACAACGGTTGTTCGCTCTGCAGCACCCGGTACGATGCCTCAAACGACCGACAAAATTGAACACGCCGCGACGACTAAAGAGTGTGCGATGCGACAGTCGGTGCGCTGGCGCATAGAGCGAGGACTTTGACTGGGGAGGACAAGCAGCCACTTTTTTGTAGTGCGATTGTGGTCTAACGAGCAAACTGAAAACTGTGTTGAAGAAGCTATTGAATGAAACAAGAACGAGGCTAAAATAGGTGGAATCTAGCTAGGCGAGGACCTCGGGCTAGAGAGGTCCGGCAGGGTGGTGTCTGGCGAAAAGTGCGGGTAGCGACTCGGGAGTGGTTCGGGGCGAAAACGTAGGCCGAACCAGCTGACACAACCGCATGTATCGCTAAAGAACAAAGTTGTTTAGACGCTACAATGAACAATGAATTTGAGTGTGGTACATGATGTTTTACAAGTGAATTAGCCCATATAAATAATGAATTCGCGAGAAACACTAGGGTTATTACATGTTTATTGAAATTGCAGCAAGGAACTATTTACTGTAGCAGATCACACCAGATGGAGTTGGAAGAATGATCACAAGTTCGCAATCCATCATGATACGGTATTGCTGGTAAAGCTCACGGCTGAATCTGGTTTCATGCCCTTGTCTTACCTACAAACAATTTTTACCCTAAACGGATTTAGAGGCAGCAGCTGTAGCAGCGCGCACAGCTGTAGCGGAGGCGGCAGCATTAGGGCGTCGCAGCGAGTGCATGAGGGCAAGCATGGCGGCAAAGAGAGTGAGCGCGCCTGCTTGATGCGCTGAGCCCAGGGAGACTGGCACGTATGTGAGCAGCGCTGATATGCCCAGCGTGACCTGGTGGGGGGTGGCAAAGAGGGGCAATGATCGGGAGAGTGAAACACAGTGTCAAGCTAGCCCAGGGAGACTGGCACGTATGTGAGCAGCGCTGATATGCCGAGCGTGATCTGGTGCGGATTGGCAGAGAGGGTGATTGGAGACGCGAGAAGAGAGTGGCTGTCTACTTTGAGAGTCACAAACAAGCCAGTTTCTGTGCGGCGTGCCGAGCCCAAGGACACAGGCACGTATGTGAGCAGAGTTGATATGGCCAGGGTCACCTGGTGAGGGAATGGCAGGTGAGGGGCAATGAAAGGGAGTGAGTGTGTCAAGACAAGAGAAGACAGTGTCAGGCGAGCCCAAGCTGGGCGTGCCGAACAGTGCGTCAAAGAGATAGGCACGTACGTGAGCAGCAGCAATGATGAGCTCAAAGATCTGGTTGGGGAATGGCAGGTGAGGATCAATGGATGAGAATGTGAACACGGGTGTGATGCCCTAAAGCAAAAAAACACTAGTTCCCCAGAACCCTGTATCCCCGTATCCCTTCCTGCAGTGCAGTGCGGCCAAGGCGGTGTTGAGCAGCCGGGCGTGGCGCAAGTTACGGGCAGGAGACTCAGGTGCACACTTCAATATGCACAATACATTTTACTCAGGCCTGCATACTCTAGTGCACACTTCAATATGCAGGATATGCTTTTAAGATCATCAAAAGCATCCTGCACACTTGTGTACTGTGCTGACTTCCCCCTATCCACACCTGCAGCACCATGATTCCGGGGGCAGTGTTATGCAACCAAGCAGAGCGAGCAGTGGCAGGGCACACAGAAGAGGGGATATACCCAGTGCGCACTTCTGTGCGAAAACCCCCTTCCCCCCCTCCACCCCTCCCTCCACCCCTTCCTACCTGCAGCGCCGTGATGCCGAGAGCAGTGTTGAGCAGGAGCGCGGAGCGTGGGTGGAGAGGCAGCTTGCGTGCCGAGTACCACATGCCTGTCACTGCAGCGAGTGTGCTTATAGCGAGTACCCTGTGCTGGAACTGGAGGGTGGGGATGGAGACAAGTTAGGGGCAAGGTGAGGGGCGAGGTGAGGGGCAAGATGAGAGACAAGAGTAACGAGAGGTGAAATGAATGGGGTTAGCGGATTTCAAGTAGCCTGTGGCTGCTGCTAACATTTCGTTGTGTGAGACGTTGGAAAGACGATGCACAAGATCGCAGATGTCACACTTCAGGGGTGTGAAATGCGTCTCAAAATACCGAGCTGACTTTTGAGTTGACTCAAAAGATGTTGGAAAGAAGATGAACTAGATCGCAGATGTCAGATTTCACGAGTGCAAAATGCACCTCAGAAATATACTTCTTTCACGCCAAATCCCTTGAAAATCTCAACAGCACCCACACCACGCACTGGTGGTGTTCCGAACTAGCAACCAACCATGACAGCACCCACACACCTGCACGGTGGCAGTGTTTTCAAAGCAGTTGCGGTGCAGAGGAGTCATTTCCAGTACACCGAAACTGCGATAATTCCACACCCCGTACGCTTCCCTAGCCAGACACCCTAAATAGTTTTTGGTTCGAAGACACGGGCACCCTGAAAATATGGGTCTATATTAAATTACCGGAACGTCCAGCCTCACGAAACTTACACTTTACAGTCAGATTGAGAGGGGAAAATCTCCACATCATACTTGTACTTTAGGAAATATCACCACGGGATTGCGTGAGTGTAACCTATATAATTCAAATAATGTTGTGAACCACTCTCAAAATCAGACTAAATGAGGGTGGCTACCCCCGGGCGTGAAGATAAGGGGTGTGGAATTATCGCAGTTTCGGTGTATCTATGGCGGCACCAAAGGGTGTAGGCGACAGCACCCACCCACACACCCAACCACCCACGCACACACGTGCACGACCACGCACTGAATTGACACCTACCCACGCATGTATTCACACACGCACCTGCACGGTGGCAGTGTTTTCAAACAAGTTGCGGTGCAGCGGAGTCATCTCCAGAATCTCCGGGGGCACCCAGTGGTCGCCCATGTGGGGAAACGTGTTGAACGCACGGCCCTGGAGGGGGCGAGGGGAGGTGTGGGGGGGAGGGCACGAGCAAGGTGTGAAGTAGGAGCAACTTGTGAATGTAACCAGTGGTCGCCCATGAGAGGGAACGTGTTGAACGCCCGGCCCTGAAGAGGATGAGGGGGGAGAGTGGGGGGGGTGAGTGGTTGGGAAGGTGGAGTTGGAAAGAGATTCTTCGGCACTGCAGGTGACCCTTCATCTGACGGCTGCAGGTGACCCTTCATCTGACGGCTGCAGGTGACCCTTCATCTGACGGCTTTCTCAAAAGCGCTTGCGAACGATCGGCAACAGCACCCAGTGGTTGCCCATGAGGGGGAACGCGTGACCCTGGTGGGGAGAAGGGGAGAGGATGCACGGCCCTGGTGTCACGAACAGAGTGTAGTTGTGAACCACAGCTGCTTGTGAAAGTCTCTTGTTGTGGCACCCAGTGCCCATAAGGGAGTAGGCGTTGCGTCGAATGCCTGGCTGGCCCGGGTGGTGGAGAGGAAATAACACAAGCAAGAAATGACACTTTGTAAGGCTTGAACACGCTCTTTACAGGGTCCCTGGTGATACCCAGTGGTCGCTTGTGAGAGCAAGGGTGCTGCTGAGGAGGGAAGGGGGAGAAGGGACAAAGGGTGTGTCGAGAAAGACAATGAGGAGGAAAAGACGACAGGAAGGCCAATGAGTGAGGAGCAAGGTGTTGGGCGAGTTGCAGCGCTGAAGGCAGTGCTCGCTGAAGGCAGTGCTCAACACTCACAGCATCATTGCCGGAAACAAACGCCCCGGAAAAGGCAGTGATGCCTAGCAGCATGGCCACTGGACGCACCAGCGGCCGCAGCTTTGATACTGCTAGAAGGTGACTTTTAGTTCGGCTTTCGAGTGGTTATTCTAGTGACTGAAAATGAGGCCAGCGTGCTGTCTGCATTAGGAGCACTTGCTGCATGCACCCAGGCGCACTCACAGCATGGCCACTAGACGAGAAGGCAGCAAGTGCTCCTAATGCAGACAGCACGCAGGCAACAAACGCACTGGGAGAAGGCAGTGATGCCCAGCAGCATGGCCACTGGACGAGAGACACTGGCTGCATGCGACAAGAGACACTGGCTGCATGGGACGAGAGATACTCACAGCATCGTTGCCAGCAACAAAGGCACCGGAGAAGGCAGTGACTCCGAGAAGCATCGCCACTGGGTGCACCAGCGGGCGCAGCTTTGCTGCTGCTAGCAGCTGAGCGGGCGTTGATGCAGGCGGCGTGGGGAAGAGGACGTTCAACGCCGTCCAGAATATGCCTGTGGGGTAGCGGAGAGGAGACGCGATGGGAGGAAAATGCGGGGTTCAGTGTGAAGAGAACGTGGGGCGAAGAGAAGTGAAGAGGACGTGGCAGAGGGCAACGAGTAATTAAGCCCTGCATGATACACTGCTTGTGTGCTTGCGATGAGTGAGTGGGAGGTGCAAGGAGGGGTGAGTGCGATAGGGAACGATGAGAAGGAGATTCATAGCCGTGCATGTACCAAGGGCATCGCATGTACCAAGGGCATCGCATGTACCAAGGGCATCGCATGTACCAAGGGCATCGCATGTACCAAGGGCATCGCATGTTGATAGGCGGCAAGGCAAGGCATCTGGCAGATTGCAAGAAATTCACGTGAGAGAAGACGACTAGATGCAGACCCACCTGAGAATGTGACAAAATTCAATGCAGACCCACCTGAGAAGATGACAAGTCAATGCAGACCCACCTGAGAAGATGACAAAAGTCAATGCAGACCCACCTGAGAAGATGACAAAAGTCAATGCAGACTCACCTGAGAAGATGACAAATGCGGATGTCAGGTGAGCGGCCAGGCGGTAAGGGCTGACTCGTGGCACGGCGTGCGGATTGGCGGGTTCCTGATGTGCAGAGGAAGCAGAGAGGGTGAAGGGAGAGGGTGAAGGGGAGGGTGAAGGGAGAGGGTGAAGGGAGAGGGTGAAAAGAGGGTGAAGGGAGAGGGTGAAGGGAGAGGGTGAAGGGAGAGGGTGAAGGGAGAGGGTGAAGGAAGAGGGTGGGTTGGGATGGGACGAGGGGAAACAAGAAGGAATAAGTCTTGGAGGCCCAATTTCACCATCCACCAGCCGATCAGCCCGCCTGACCACGCTCACTCACCTCGCCTAAACTCCTCATCTCTTCAGCTCATCTCACCTTCCCCATCCCACCCATCTACCCTCCAGCCCTGATTTCACCATCCACCAGCCGATCAGCCCGCCTGACCACGCCCACTCACCTCGCCTAAACTCCTCATCTCTTCAGCTCATCTCACCTTCCCCATCCCACCCATCTACCCTCCAGCCCTGATTTCACCATCCACCAGCCGATCAGCCCGCCTGACCACGCCCACTCACCTCGCCTAAACTCCTCATCTCTTCAGCTCATCTCACCTTCCCCATCCCACCCATCTACCCTCCAGCCCTGATTTCACCATCCACCAGCCGATCAGCCCGCCTGACCACGCCCACTCACCTCGCCTAAACTCCTCATCTCTTCAGCTCATCTCACCTTCCCCATCCCACCCATCTACTCTCCAGCCCTGATTTCACCATCCACCAGCCGATCAGCCCGCCTGACCACGCCCACTCACCTCGCCTAAACTCCTCATCTCTTCAGCTCATCTCACCTTCCCCATCCCACCCATCTACTCTCCAGCCCTGATTTCACCATCCACCAGCCAACCCGCCCCCTCAAGTGGCATAAACTCTCCACCTCTCCACCCCACCTCCTCATCTCTCCCCACCCCACCTCCTCACCTCACCTCCCCACCTCACCTCCTCATCTCTCCCCACCTCACATCCTCATCTCCCCACCTCACATCCTCATCTCCCTCACCTCATCATCTCCCCTCACCTCGAGCCCTGATTTCACCATCCACCAGCCGATCAGCCCCTGCGCCCCGCCCAGGCCAAACAGCACGGCGCAGCGGGCGGCGAGCTTCGACTTGATGCGGCCACGTGCGGCAAAGTAAGCGGCGGGGAGGAGGAATAGCAGCCCGAGCGCCCGGCCCCACATGCGGTGACTGTACTCCATCCAGTAAATGAACTTAAATTCATCGATAGTCATGCTGCTGTTGACCCTGTGGGAATATGAGGAATAAAAGGAGTAATTTGATGTTGTTTAGTGGGTTAAGAGGGGTTGAGAAGGTTGAGAAGAGCAGGCCGAGCGCCCCCCCCCACATGCAGTGAGCATACTCCATCCAGTAGATGAACTTGAACTCATCAACAGTCATGCTGCTGTTGACCCTGTGGGAATGCAAATGGAAGGAGGAGAGCAGAATAGCAACGAACGCGAGGGCCAGGGCTGTCAAGGAACATTGCGCCACATGCGATGAGCGTACGAATAGGCAAACCGAGGCAACAAAACATCCCGAATCCGATCCTGGCGACAAATAGCCATGCTTTCTTTTGCTGCTGTTCACTGCACCCACGCGCACGCAGCCACTGCAGCAGCAGCAGCAGCAGCAGCACCGCCAACAGTACCACAATGGCCGTTTAGATTCAGGCGATTTGCGGTACGTGTCAGTCATGGAAAGGCCTGAACGCGTGAGGAGAGTGACACACATTCCACAGCACCACCAGCGCCCACACCCACCACCAGCAGCAGCACCAGCAGCACCAGCACCACTAGCGGCCACACCACCCCCCTTACCGTTTGAACTCGGGCGACTGGCGATACTTGTCAAATTCCACTCTCCATTCCTCCTCGCTCCGGGGCGCCTGCTCACCACTGAACTTCCAGTCAGTCATGGAGAGCCCTGAGCGCGTGAGGCGAGTCACACCCCCCAACACCACCAGCGCCCACACCCATGCCGCGCACCCCATCAGCCACCCCCCCACCGCCCTCTCCGCTGCCGCCCCCCCTGCCACTAGCGCGTGCTCGGATGCTGACGTGGCGGGTGCTGACGTGGCGGAAGGGGATGAGATAGGGGTGCTGGATGCTGCTGCTGGGGTGGCGGCTGGGCTCGCTGCGGGGGACGTGGCTGAGGGTGCTGACGAGGCGGAGGAGGTTTGGAGCGTGCGGATTACATTGGCTGGGGAAGAGAGGGAGGGGGATGACTGGAGTGCTGCAGAAGTCGCGGGAGATATTTTGGTCAGCATGCTATTTATTGATCGCATGTGCGGTATGCTGATGGTGGAGATTTGCTGTATCGCATGATGACGTGGTACAAGCGTGTTGAATCCACGTGTCAGTGAGAGTGCGGAAGGACTGCTGCTGACTTGGCTCACATTGACCGGCGTTGACCCGCTTGACTTGCTGTGGGCGGCACTGAACGCAGCGGGGCCGCATGCTGAGCTGGCGCTTGTCGATGCGTCTGTACTCGTGGCAGCGTGGTAGTGGCTTGATTGAGTGGCAAGAAGCGGATTTGCGTCCAAAGGCACGGATGGGAATGACGTGGCATTGTGTGACGTGGCAGGGTGGGAAGGAGGTGGCCGCGGGAGGGAGAGACGAGAAAGCGAGCAGACACGTGTGCTGATGACAGCGGCGGAGCGGCGCTGCCACATGGCGTGATCTTATTGGCGGAATGGAACTTTCGTCAAACGTACATTCAGATGTGAATGCGAAAGGCCTACGCAGCACACACGACGGGTGTAGGCAGTAAGGGTCAGGCGGAACGGCGGAACGGTGAGGGCGGACAAGAACAGGCGGAAAGGTGTAGGCGGAAAGGTGTAGGCGGAAAGGTGTAGGCGGAAAGGCCGGGTGGACGAGGGAAGCACGACGGGCTGGATCTGCAGTGCCGAAGCACTCACAGGCGGAAGGCGCTCAGGTGGAAGGCGCTCATAGGCGGAAGGCGCTCATAGGCGGAAGGCGCTCAGGCGGAAGGCGCTCAGGCGGAAGGCGGTCACAGGAGGAATGGCGTGTCGCTCAAAGGCGCTCAAAGCCGCTCGTCGCGGCAAGCGGCTTTGAAGAAGATAAATTTAGCAAAACCGCACACGGCTCACCGACTATTGCAAACCAGATCGTACGCGTTGACGGAGAGTCGCCTGGGTGACGTTTTGGATGACGTGGTGCGCTGGAATATCCCAGCGAAGCTTCGCATCAAACACTAAACTTAAAGCCCCGAGTTTGCGGCTTCAAAAATGTTATTTTGAAATTGTGCGGGGTTCACTAGTGAGCAGGTTTGGGACGAGCGGTAGGACATGTAATTTGGTAACCATAATTTCAGTTCCCAAATGCATTTGGGGGGATGGTTTGTGTTATGAGTTGAAAAAGAGAGTGCGCAGGTAAACGAATAACAAGAATGTGATCAACTGATCTGAGAATACAATGAAGGCACAGACTAATGTAGGGACTAGCCTAGTTAGGAGGGAACCTCGTGTAAAAAGTTGAACAATGAATGGATCAACAATGAAAGAAGTGAGTACAAGTGCTAACCCTAATTGGGTTGTACCCCTTATAAGCTACCCCACTACAGCCTACACAATGTGCAAAAGCTATATGTGTCAGAACTTATAGCTTACTTGTTTCTGTAGGCTATAGTGGGGTATCCCATAGGGGGTACAACCCAATTAGGGTTTCCTATTTGTACTCTCTTCGTTCATAGTCATTCCATTCTCGTTCTTTGTTTTCACATGGAATCAGAGCAGGTTCCCTCCTAGGGACTGCTTCTAGGGCCCACCGAACCGCGCCCCGAGGCGCGTTTTTTTTTAGCGACCCGTCGTGTCGCCCCTAGCGGACCGTTGCGCCGCCCTTCCCCTCGCGGCTCCGCCGCCCTTCCCTAGCGGCCCCGCCGCCCTTCGATCGCGGCCCCGCCGCCCTCTGCTACGCGGCCCCGCCGCCGCCCTTCGATCGCGGCCCCGCCGCCCTCGGCTACGCGGCCCCGCCGCCCTCTGCTACGCGGCCCCGCCGCCCTCTGCTACGCGGCCCCGCCGCCCTTCGATCGCGGCCCCGCCGCCCTTTGCCACGCGGCCCCGCCGCCCTCTGCTACGCGGCCCCGCCGCCCTCTGCCACGCGGCCCCGCCGCCCTTCGATCGCGGCCCCGCCGCCCCCTGCTACGCGGCCCCGCCGCTCTCTTCGGTAGCGGCCCCGCCGCCCTCTGCTACGCGGCCCCGCCGCCCTCTGCTACGCGGCCCCGCCGCTCTCTTCGGTCGCGGCCCCGCCGCCACTCTGCTACGCGGCCCCGCCGATCCGCCCAGCAGCAGCCGCCGCCGCCTGAGCCGCCGCCGAGCCGCCGCCGAGCCGCCGCCGAGCCGCCGCCGAGCCGCCGCTGAGCCGCCGCCGAGCCGCCGCCGAGCCGCCCGTGCCGCCCGAGCCGCCGCCGAGCCGCCTGTGACGCCCGAGCCGCCCGCGCCGCCCAGCAGCAGCCGAGCCGCCGCCGCCTGAGCCGCCGCCGAGCCGCCGCCGAGCCGCCGCCGAGCCGCCGCCGAGCCGCCGCCGAGCCGCCGCCCGAGCCGCCGCCGAGCCGCCCGTGCCGCCCGAGCCGCCCGCGCCGCCCGAGCCGCCTGCGGAGCCGTGCTGCTGTTCCTCTGCTGCTGACCTACCTGCCTCTCCCCGCCCGGTGAGATTTTCAGCTGCTGTCATGGCCACCCCCAATGTTCTTACCTTTGACGCTGAGGGGAGGGCCATTGACTTTGCCGTCTGGATTGAAGACCTGCAGCTGTACTTACTGTGTGATGCGATAGATGAGGTCTCTCTCTTTGACTTTGTCTCTGGCGCTGTCCCTGCCCCACCTGCTGATGCTGACTCTGCCGTTCGCTCCAAGTGGGCGACCCGCGATGCTGCTGCACGTCTTGCTGTGCGTCGCCACCTCCCTTCCTCTGAGCGTGCCCACTTTAGTCAGTGCAAGACCGCTCAGGCCTTGTACGACGCTGTAGTTGCACGCTACTCCTCCCCTTCCTCCGCTACCCTTAGCCGCCTCATGCTACCGTTTCTCTTCCCTGACCTCGCTTCCTTTCCCACTGTCGCTGACCTCGTTACCCACCTCCGTGCTAGTGACACCCGCTACCGCGCTGCCCTTCCTGCTGAGTTCCGCGCTGCGAACCCTCCTCCCATGTACATCACTCTCTACTTTCTCGTCACCCGTCTCCCTGAGTCCCTTCGTGTCGTTAGGGACCAGTTTCTCTCTGTCTGTCCCACCACTCTCACTGTCGACCTCCTTGAGGAGTCCCTGCTAGCGGCTGAGAAGAGTATTGTCGCTGTAGGGGCCTCTCGGGGTGACCCTCGCACCCCCATCTTTGAGGGGTGTGGTCCTTCCCCCCTGCTGCCCTCTGTCGCCTCTGCCGCTGCGGCCGACCTCACTGGTTTTGAGTCGGTCGGCGCGGCGTCTGCCCCCAGCGGCAGACGTCGCGCTGGCAAGGGCAAGGGGGGCAAGGGAGCGGGTGGAGCTAGAGGGGGCGGTGGAGGAGGCGGTGGGGGTGGCGGGGGGGGAGTGGAGGTACTGGTGGCGGCGGTGGAGGCGGAGGTGGCGGCGGAGGTGGTAGCGGAGGAGGCGGTGGGAGCGGTGGGAGCGACGGTCCTGGTGGGGGAGGTGGAGGTGGAGACGGGGGTGGCGGTGGAGGCGGGGGTGGCAGTGGAGGCGGGGGTCGGAGTGGCTCGTCTCAGCGGAGCAGCTCCGGGGGTGGTCAGCGCCAGCAGCAGCAGCAGCAGCAGCCGGAGCAGCAGCCACAGCACCAGCAGCGCTCTCGCACCGTCCCCGCCCCTCAGCAGCTCCGTGAGTGGTACTCGCAGCGTCAGCGTGGTGGTGCGCTTGGTCCTTGCCCCTACGTTCTCCGCACCGGTGACCGTGCAGGGGAGAGGTGTGGAGGCGCCCACACTGCCCGCCGCTGCTTTGGCCGCCTGACTGACGCCTGGCGTCAGCAGTTTCCGGAGGCAGCTGAGATCCCCCGCTGGGGAGAGCTGTCTAGGGCTGGTGTAGCTATTTATGATCTTGATTTTGATGCTATTCTCTCTCCTATGTATGCTGCGATTGGTAGTGATGAGGATGACTGTTACCGGTGTTTCCCGCCCGACCCGGGCATTGGTACTGCCGCGTCAGGTACTAGTGAGGCTGCTGCTCTAGGTGCCAGTGCGTCTGTGCTCTCAGGTGCTGGTGAGTCTGCCCTCTCAGGTACTGTGTCGGCTTCGGCCTCCCACACCTTCACCCTTGACTCTGGAGCGTCTCGCTCCTTCTTTCGGGACCGCACCACTCTCACGCCGCTGAGTCGGCCGGTTGCGGTGTCCCTGGCTGACCCCTCTGGGGGGCCTGTCCTGTCTCGCTTCTCCACTGTCCTCCCGTGTCCGGCGGCCCCCTCTGGCACCCTGACTGGTCTTTACCTCCCCTCGTTCTCGACGAACTTGGTGAGTGGTGCTGACCTCCAGGATGCGGGTGTCCACCAGTTCACCCCTGCTCGTCAGCGGGTGACCCACTGCACGGAGGCGGATACAGGTCGCCACCTGGCTACGTTTACACGTCGGCCAGGGTCGAGCCTGTACACTCTGACCACTGCTTCTCCTCCAGGTGCTGAGTCTGGTAGGGTCACTTCGTCTGGTCAGGTGTTTGCTGCAGCGTCCAGGTCTGGTCATGAGTCTGCCCCCTGCTCGTGCCGTCGTCTGTCTCACGAGACCCTCCTCTGGCACCACCGCCTTGGCCACCCCTCTCTGCTTCGGCTCAGAGGCATGGCCTCGCGAGTCCTTGTGTCTGGTCTTCCCCGGTCTCTCCCTCCCCTCCCTCCGGGCCCTGGCCCCACCTGTGTCCCCTGTGTCGAGGGGCGCCAGCGTGCTGCCCCTCACTCCTCCCAGTTTCCTCCGACAGAGGCCCCGTTGCAGACGCTTCACATGGATGTGTGGGGCCCAGCCCGCGTCCGTGGACAGGGTCAGGAGCGCTACTTCCTGCTGGTGGTTGACGACTACTCGCGTTACACCACAGTCTTCCCCTTGCGCAGCAAGGGTGAGGTCACTGCGGTGTTGATCGACTGGATCCGCGCAGCTCGTCTCCAGCTTCGGAGGAGCTTTGGCTCTGACTTCCCTGTTTTGCGTCTGCACTCGGACAGAGGCGGAGAGTTCTCCTCTGGCCTCCTGAGTGCCTACTGTCGTGCGCGAGGCATCCGTCAGACCTTCACGCTTCCGGACTCACCGCAGCAGAATGGGATTGCTGAGCGCCGCATTGGCATGGTCATGGACG